AACTAGCTCTGTGCCTAAATGTATCACTTTCAACCTACAATCACAAAATCACAGATTTTCCCTATAATAATTTTAGTAGTCATAGTGTAATCATATTATAAACCTGACTGAAACCCACAAACCTGCAAATATAAGGCTTGCATAAGAGTTCAACTATCAAGCATGTTTCTGTTTACAGTTTATGCCATGAAATCATTGAATGGATGATGGGAAAGTCTGACAGCTCTCTCCTCAGCAAAAATTATGATCATGAGAGCATTAACCCAACCCCCCCAAAAAAAAACATTCTGTCCTCTTGGTTTTTTTATATAAAGCCTGCAAACACCATTTCAGGGTCATTACCGCTGCACTCATTAGATGGAAAATCAATTAGCTTTGTACTGAAGGCCTTTTAGTAATTATGAGGACTAATTGACTCCCCTATCGCCCTTTTTACACTGCAATACCTGAGATGGATGTGCTGTACATTTTATCTACTGAGATTTAAAAAAAAAAACATGCACCAGACTCTGTGTTTGCTTTCTAGCTATTTGCCTTTGATGAGCAACTTTAACCAGTTGATATGTTTTTCTGTTCTTTGCGTTCTGGTCTTAAAATGAATCAATCTGCTGGAAAATGTCTCATTGACATAGTAAACAGCTTGTTTCTTATGGTGTGGATCCAAACTCAATGCATCTTGATTGATATCAACGATAAATGTTAAAACCATTTATTTTTTTTAGGTTTGTGGCAAAATTATTTTCCTTTTCAGTATTTTTGTCTTTCCAGAAAACATATCTAAACATCCTTAAAACAAGATATATTTACTTGACTAGCAAAATAGTGAATGATATTAAGACATCCCTAGTGAAAAAAATACTATGTACTTGTAATTAGTATATTGCAAATACATTTACATATTTATATACTTAATAAAAATACCTTGCAATTGTACTTCAGATATACTAAACTGGTATACTTAAAGTCTGCTAAATTGGAACAACTACTTTTGTGCTTAATGCACTTTGTGCAGAAGTAGTGCTGAAGTCCAACTAAAGATATGCTGAAGAATATTTGATTGTGCTAAAGTGGAACTGTTGCAAGTATACTTCAGGTACACTTTAAATATCTTGCATTTAAAGACTGATATTATACAGAGATCATACAATCCTTATTAATAGTGATATTAAAACACATTTTAAGCACAATATTAAGAAACGTGCATTGTGCAATAAAGAAATACTCCAAATAAAGTTTACTTATAATTTTATATCAGTAAGTCTTAAGTGATATGTCAATAAATCTAATGGATTTGAAGTATACTTATATGAAATAAATGCATTTAAAATACTTTTTTAAATTATTTTTTATATTAATTATGGCATAGGTATTTTTTACTAGGGATGGTTTAAGAGAATATTTCTCATACCACTTTGGCTTTGTTTTAATCATAAACCTCACTAGATTTTCTTAGATTTATGCTTAATGCAAAGAAGAATAAACATCAAGATACATCATCTGAAAATAATCATATTAATATTTGTTAATTATATAATTGTATTCATATTTAATGTGGTAAAAGTAGGCTACTTAAAACAAGAGTTTACTGGAAAACAAGACAAAAATTACTGATTAAAATTATTTTTTGCAGTGTGATCGGATGATGGAGTATATATATATATATATATATAGCTGGTAACTAACAGGTGAGCTGCAACCCTTTTCTTTGTAAAATTGGTGGCGATTCTCAGTGGAATAGTGACATTTTACCTCTCTCTTTTAAAATTAAATAGCACATTTATTGTTATAATTATTGGGTAATCTTTAACTCTGTACCCTCTACTGAAAAGGGTTTTGTAGAGGTCTATGGAGTTTATCAAAACCCTTTCCAGCATTGACCAGACTTGATGATATCATTACCCGTCCCCTTACAGTGGCAATCAAATGTCAAACCTAACAAAATTTCCCAGAAACCATCACGAACCTGGACGTACTACAACAGAAACTGCAGTGGACTTCCTCTAATGATAATCATTACCTCTAGCACATATCTTTCTACTTCATTTAAGCCATTCTTAGCAGAGGGATCTATCATGATTCATAACCACCAGCTGCAAGTTTGTGGCCTTCGTGATTTATTCAGATTACCATTTCACTTTTATGCACTCCAGTCATAAAGGCACCTTGAACCTTTTTAATTAAGAGCATCTAATTTAGAAGTAAACCCATCATTAATGCAGCACATTCATTATGGGATTCATTTATGTGCCTTTGCAGTGCTGTCCTGAGAGCTGTTCCCCAGTACAGATGCAAATAACACTCGTAAACAAGCACAGAGGCTCATGGGATAGAAGAGAAGAAATTAAAGCTCTTTTGGCTTTGTTTTAAATGGGTCAGCTAAATCAAACTTCACGGAGGATTTGATTTTTACTGTTTGTACAGAAAATATCCAAGAATGCTGTTTATAAAGAGTTTGTCTTGATCAGCTCCCTAGATTAAGGAATACATTTTTTATTGTAATTCTGTCATCATTTGCTCACCTTCATGTTGTTCCAAACCTGCATGACTTGTTACTTTCTTCTGTGAAACCTGAAAGATATTCTGAAGAACATTTCAACTGTGAACGTCAACACTGGCCCCATTTGACATTCATTGTGTGGACAAATAAAATAAATAAATATAATTTTTATGTCCTATTTATATATATATATATATATTCTAATAATCATATATACATATATATTTATGCCTCTGAACAATGAGATCTTGACCAGAGCAGATTTTTATCCAATTAATCCTGTTTTCTTCTCCTTTTTGAAATATGATTACCATAGTTTTGTTTGCATTTTTCAGTGTAAACATCATTCACTGCTACTAGTCAATTGCAATTTCATTGTTCCCATAAAATTTCAAGTGCTTGTTTTAAATTTTAAGAGCCACACTTATAAATTCATGACCGTCCCAAATCACAGCACCATCGTTACTCATCGCTGTTCAGACTGAAAGCTTAGAAACCCTTTTTTCGCTCTGAGACAACATTTATAATCCATAGGATCCCTAATTCACAACTGATGTGAAATCCTAAAGGGGTTGTGTTCATAACTTCATAACCTCATGAGGTGAGGAATTCTGTAATTATTCTTCCATGATTATTCGGTCTCATTAGCCTGCTGACCCTCCTGTGTGTTGACGTGAAACATCGCCTTCAAGAGTCCTCGTGCAAAATCAGTGTTTACCAGACACTGGCAGCACAGACAGAAAACTCTCAAGTCTTTTCTTTATGCAATAACACTTGAGACAAAAGTGGTCTGAGATGCATGCAAAGAAAGGTCATACAGATGATGATTAATGCCACCGAGCTAGGGAATACAAAAAGAAAACTAAATGTCACGGAACCGATGTTTAGCCACAGAAAAAATAAAAAATAGATATGTAAGCGATAACTTACAGTCAGCCGGTCACTGTCACCAAATAACAAGTAAACACCTGAAAAAGCCTATTTAGCAATAATGACTGGCTGATTATTTGCAATAATAATTTATGCAAAAGACCACTGAAAAATAGGCGAATCAGAACATAACACGACTGTGACGTTACAGTTGGGATCACTAATAGCTACGCCCCCAACATTTGCATATACCCGCCCATGTTCTATGCCAGCCGCCAGCCGAATCATCAGAAGTTCTGCAGGTATTGTGAAGAAACAAGCGAGGATAATAGAGAAAATGGCATATCATGGAAATAAATGTTATGTTCCAGACTGTGCAGGGGATGTGATGTGCAGGGATGGGTTGGTGTCTGTATTCAGAAAGGCACGGAAAACAAATAACGCGCGTTCTAATAAAATAACGCGAGCCACTAAAGGGACATAGTTAGCTGCTTGCTAGCGGTAGCCTGTTACATTACAGTACATAAAGATTTCACATACCACATAAACAGAGTAAGGAGAGATGACTGAGGATGATGGCGAATGATTTACAGATCCTGAGCACCACTGACAAGCATCGCGATCGCAAATCTCGAAAGTAAAAGTAAAAAGCCATCGTACATTCGAAAGCAGTTTCAATGCCCCGCATATTAATAGCGGCTCCCTGATGCCCGCATTTTATATACAGTATAATTACCCAACGATATAACTGTGACAGTATTGAAATATATATTTTCCCTGTTCTATTTCCTTCCTGCTGTGTGAGCTACTGAAATGAGCCGCACTGTGAAACAGCCAATCAGAGCAGAGCTCAACATTGAGCCGCACTGTGAAACAGCCAATCAGAGCAGAGCTCAACATTATTATTCATGACCCTTCCAAATAAGGTAAAAACAGACCATTTCATTCTAGGGACAAATCCTAGGGTTGTAAATGGACATGTAAAACCGTTTCTGTAGATTTTTTGCCCTTACCTAAGCCACATACCTTCTATGAAGATATCAGAGAACAATTTAAAATATTGTATCAATGCATTCTATGGCACCTTTAAAAATAAGATGAAATAATAAGAACACATGGCATCAACAAAAGTATATTCCATCAATTAATGGAGCTAACAGGTCTGTCTTTAAAAGTTTATAAGTTATTGATAAAAATATAATTCCCTATGGAGAAAATGAATGGAGTTTTTAATTTTGAAACCCAACTGTTGCACTCTATAGGGTATCAGATCACTGAATGACACGATTGAAGTTTTCCAATTTTAAAATTATTTTAATTGAAATACACAGTGAATGTTATGTACTCACTTATATGTCAAACTTTGTTCTAGTCTTTATAAATTAGACATTTATGAAGAATTGTTACCAGCCATTGTCATAAAATGACAGTCTGTTAAATACTACTTTTCTTTTTGGTATGCATTTTATTTTTGCCTACTTACAGTGAGTAAAGATATTATGGTAAAGACTATTAAACATGTTTTCATAACCTGACAGGTTTAACAAAATATCGGTGTGTAACAATATGTAAATGCTGGGAGTACCGGAGGTGAATTTCAAACCTAAATAGCAAAATGTTTTTATTTGGGATGGGGCAGAAAATGGATGACTCTAGAGTATCCTCTCTAATCTTAAAAAAAACTGTTGGAATAGAAAAACACGGAAATGCTGCAGATGATCCTGGATTTAGCAGCTTCTGACAGTTTTCCCATCCAGTCTGTCATGTTTTGGTTTCTCGTTTCTAGCATCCTCCTGCCTTCCGAATCTGATGCATTATGCATATTTTACCTGAGCTGTATCTAAACCCTAACGGTCCTCGAAGAATGAAACGGTTATGTGGGACTCCTCTTTAATAATTGCATAAAAGGCACAGTTAAAACGTTTTGACCAAACATATCTAATCTAAGTGCATTTAACCATACATTCAGATAATTCACTAAAAGCTTTTAAAATACTTGAAAAGGAGGGGAAAAGCCTTGAGACTTAAGGCAGTTGGTTAATGAGTTTGGCTATCACTCAATAACACCTGTTGTGTAGATATGAAATAAAATAGCCAAAAAGTAGCTAGCAAATCTGTCCACAAATAAGACACTATTTGTTTGTGTTCTGTATGTGTGCTTTCTCAACTCCAGATGTCCTGTAGATATCGCTTCTCCTCACGAAGTCCTGCTACTATCTTCATAGCATCCAGTTTATCGATTTGAAGTTCATTTCCTATGATCTCCAGCAGTGTGTCATTCACATCCTTTGCCATGTTCTTTGCATCCCTGTAAAATCGTGAGATATTGTCTCATTCCTGGTAAACAAAATGCGACGTTACACATGGTAAACAAAGTCAAGCTGTTTATATTTTGTACCCACCCACAGACATAGAGACACCCTTTATCTTTGAGGAGGATGCTGGCAACATTTTTAGCATGGAGACGCAAGTTATGCTGGACATATGTTGGACTGTTAAGAGTTCCCGCTGCATCAGGCTCATCTCTGGAGAAGCACACGATCAGATGGCTCAGGATTCTATTATGCGCAAATCTCTCCAACTCCTCTCTAGAAGAAAAGCAGGAATGTGCTTATTACCACATTTCACTATTGTTTCATCAGTCAGTGGTTGTTTTGGCAGTGGTTAAACTAAACTTACGCATTAAAACATACAAATGGTACAAATTAGATTCGCTCAGATTTTGCGTTAGTGAAGTAACAACAGTGGAGCTCATTAGTGTATTGCATTCGATAACTCACATTTTCATCTCCCTCATCCATCTGGCAAGAAAGTTTATAAAACCTCAAGGCCGCTGTTGTAAATCGCTTCTGTAACAGCTTTTATTTCAGCACCTAGCAAAAGTTTGGATGCTATTTCAACAAAATGAGAGACATGTGAAGGTTCCAGACAGGGTCAAGCTCAAGGTTGAGTCTCTTTTGCAATCGATTGCTCTGCTTGTCTGTTACCTCAGATGTTCACTTGGCAAAAGCCACTTTAACTTTTTTATTTATTTTAATATATATTTTTATTTTTATTTAAAAGGTAATGTTCATCCAAAAATGTATATTCTCACAACGTTCCAAACCTGAATGACTTTCTTTTTTCTGTTGAACACAAAATTTCCATGCATTTACAATATATGGGGACTGGGGGCTTTAATCTTTACAAACAAGACTTTAAAAACTTGTGTAGAACCAAGTCTTTTTAATTTATAAGTTAACTCGTAACTGCTGTGATCAGCTCATTGAGTCAGTCAGATGAACTTGAAAACTGGATCGGTTTGATTCATAAAAATTAATCATTAATGCTTTGTGATCTGGTACAATCAGTTCACTGAAATTATATGACTAAGAATGATTTGTTCACAAATTGGACAAAGCTGGTGTTCACATGAACATGTTCTCACATCCCCCTTCACTGGAACCGCATGGAAGTCTTTCAAATTCCTTCTTTGGTGTCTTACAGGTTTGTAACAATCTGAGGGTGAGTAAATAATGAAAACATTTAAATTTTGGGGTTAACTATAGCAAACAAATGTTGTCATAGAACTTTTCATGCATATTTCCACTGAAGTTACAGGAGGACGACTGCAATCTAAACAGATAGGTGATGTAATGGATGAAGCAAGCATTTGCACACAACATCTGAAAACAGCCTCATCTGAGTATTGACATGTTCTCTGAATAAGATATTACCATGTAAACAGAGTTTCCAATTATCTGAATTCAAAGAAAGTTTCTGAGTAGTGGTGTGCAAAAGATTACACACCCATACCCACACGCCTATTCAAAGTATACAGTAGTAATTGCTGTGTAAATGTATTTAAAATGCTCAGAGCCACCTCAATGCCACTTCAGAAGTGCGTCTGTGCCACCTGTGCAGTGTAAATTTGGTGATAAGATTACTGCAGGTTTACTAACCTAAGTGAACAATTCAGCATCTAAATTACGAAACTACTTGTCATTAACAACCAGGTCTATTTATAGTACATGCGTTATGGTTTTGTTTTTTTAAGTTTTTGAGCACATATGTTTGCATGCACCATCTGGGAGCCACATCCATCTTAACAGATGAGCTGTTCTAGGCTTTCTGGTGACAGATATTGAATGTTTACAAAGAATTCAGTCTTGAGTGGTCCTTTGTCCCTTTTCCAGAATCTAATCCGCCCACTTCCCTCTTCGTGTAATCCAAATCCATAAAAACAAAGAGGCCCATTGGTGACGGGGGGCCAAGACGAGTGTGCTTTATTTCAACAACACTGATTGAGGCTGATTCCAGCCTTTTAACACTCATAAGTATCAAAGTCCCTTTAAGGCAAATCATGTCACTCGGGGGCCATCTTTGAAATGCCTCACGGGCATGAAAGTGCAGCTCCAATATCTTTGAATGGGGAAACATCAAATTCTCCAGAATTGTTCGCCAAGTTTAAGATTAAATTTCATATTTGAAATCACCAATGAAATCTGACAATAACTGTCTCATAAATGTTGTTTCTTTTGCTCAAATAGTGTTTAAAAAAAGCTTATTTTTCAGGCTAGGCCAGCCAGTGCGCATGCACAGTCCTGAGCTCACGTCTCAGAACACTGACTGTTTCTATAGCAACCGGGACTTCTAACGGCAGCTGCAGTGACACGCTGACTTTACAGATTATCGATTGGCTCTTTTACTCAGAAGGCGGGGCTTCGTTCGATAGAGCGGCCATATTGAGCGTTGCATTTTTCCCCATTCAAAACTATACGAGTGACACGTCTTGGGTATTTTATAGTCTTTGTAAGTATCATGTTTGATTAGAATTGATTGGAGATGCCTTGTTTTCTTTAGCAGGCTGCCTGATGGCTAGCCGGTTTGCTTTTTTGTTTTTCAGTGAGTGTTGAGTTTTGCAAGGCAAGTTCAGTCGCTCTCAAATGCCACCGGCACTTTCTACTTTGCTCATTAAAGCGTAGCAGACAATGAGGGTGTTACACCGAACAACACAAAGCACATTTCATTGATCATCTTAATCAATGTAGAGAAAAAAAATGATTAATGAAACCACAGTGTGACCAACGTGAATAAAAACATTAATGAATACAATCCTTGATGTTCGTGACCACTGAAGGCAAAGATAGATTCAAACGGTGTGTCTGGACCTTGACTTTGATCTTGTTGTTATTAGCTCTTGTGTCAAATAGAGGCAAGCACTGATACAACGTTATGTGCCGCCCCGCCATCACAACACACACACTTAATACTCACCAATCCAGGCTCCAATGTCATTACTTCAGGACCTTGTGTGTGAGTTATGACTCTGTGCCTATTGGAGAGCCAGACCCCAATCATCTTATATAATGTCTCGTATCATATGCCCCATACTCTCAGAGGGAGTACTTTAATTACATTGCTTTCCCAATAATTACTCTCAAGGACGGTGCAACAGGAGCCTCTGGCTGATAGCAACCAAGAGAAGATGATGCCAAGAGCCAGTGTGAAGCTGGCAGATCAAGTGAAAAATACTTTGAGGTTATGGAGATAACATATGATCAGGTTGCAAAGGGGGACGATGGAATAATGGTTGCGTGTGGCTGAACAGCAAAAAGACATTTTCTAAATCAGTTTTTTTTTTTTAAATATCTAAACATCCTTAAAACAATGGGACACAAGATTGCATCAGATAATACAGCTTTTTTAGAGAATATCTTAAAATTACGTTTGTTTCTTAGCCTAATTATTGTATTATAAGCATAAATCTAACAAAATATAATGGTTTATTCTTACAACAAGAAAAAAAAACACTTCAAGATATAATTTTTGAACACCGCTCATATAATAAACACAATTGCTTCTCAAGTACATTTATATCGGGTTAAGGCTGTTTTGATGTTTATTCTGGAAAATAAGACAAACAAATTAAGAAAGTGATTTTATGCATGTTTGTAATATTGCGAATGCACATACCTGAAAAGAAAATCTTTGTCTTTGTGGCGACATCCAAAAAAGAGCCATGTCTCTCCGAAAGTTGCTTCCTGGTTCACTTCTCGTTCTTTCTCTCTGTCAGTTTAAAACAATAATGGAAAATTTAACATTATGTCTCCATAAAATTAAGTTATAACACACATATACTGAATACTAAGCACTTAAAAAAATTGTTTCTAAAAGCTTTTTTGAAATGATTCAATTTTTCATGTTGATATCTATAGAGCTGGATGGCCAATGGCCAAAATAAAGGCAATTAGGGAATTCAAAACGACCTTTACTTTGGTACCAAATCAATACTAAAATAAATACATAAATAAATACAGCAATCTCAGCCTTTCTGTAGGTTTGGAAATACAGAGTGCAGATTTAATTCTGTAGCCAACGGCTGTCTGTCTGACTGACAGCCAGCTGCTTTCTAATGCTCGCATGCATATTTATACGTTTATGCCTCAAGGTAATGTGTGCAAATGGTCAAATGTACTTCTTACTTAAAATGTCTCTTGGTGAGTTATTCATGTAAATAAGTGAATGTAAACAGTTGGGGGGAAAAATATGGTTTGTGTCAAAATATGAGCTCTGTGCATCAAGCTGTGTATTAAGCCTAATAGGCCTGCCACAGTCTATTATGTTTATAATAATAATAAAACTGAAAAAAAAAATTTGAAAATAGAGGAAAACACCCTGTTCATAATTTAAAATTGTTCCTTATTACTTACTGAAAAATCTTTTTAAAATATAAGCAATATTTACTTATATAAACACTACCATTCAAAGGTTTGGAGGCAGTAAGAATTTTTATGTTTTTTATAAGTCTCTTATGCTCACCAAGGCTGCTTTTATTTAATCAAAAAAATACAGTCAAAACAGTAATATTGTAAAATATTATTACAATTTAATTATTACAGCCATTTTAATTTTGAATTCTCGGCAGCCATTACTCCAGACTTCAGTATATTGAGTATATACATGTTTAACTGGTATTGATACAGGCAACCCTATCATGCCAATATATACAGACATACTTAATAATGGCAAAGATATGCACCCAAATTTATTTCAATTCATTAATAGTTAAAAGTTTATTTATAGACAAGGCTGTCATTATATTTTGGAAATGAAACAATGGCAAGAAAATCCTGCTGATAATCTAAAAATTGTTGAATATGTGCCGATTAATTTGCCTGACTGATAACTAATTACAAATTCAATAATCTTCTGTATTTAATATATCCAGTGATCCAATTCATAGTTTCACAGTGATGAAGCCATACATTGGCATGTGGCGTTTAATTACTCTCTGACCTGCTGCATTACCACAAAAATGCAAAATCCCTCTTTGTAGAGTGAAGACCTTGATAGTGTTGTGGATTTTTCTTGGGTGCGGCCAATGAAGTGGAGGAGCAGAGTTCCAGATGTCAAAATAAGACTTTATTTAACAAAGAAATAAAGCCGGGAAGACAGTCACAGCATTCCAAATCATTCCAAAGTCTTTGTTTGTCAACTCATATTATATACCCCTTGTTCTCTCCAAATTTGGTCATTTTCTGTTTTTTCTTTGTTCCGGTTACTTTTTATTGGTTATAGATACCTGATTTGCCACAATTGTTTCCAACTCTTTTGGCCTTGTTTTCTAATTGGTTGGTAGTGTGGTCATACTAGATGTGTGTCAAATTTATCTACTTGCTTTTGTTTTGCCACCTTCCATTGGTTGGTAATGTGGTCATACAAGATGTGTGCGTCACATCCATCCACCTGTTCCTGATAATATTAGATTATTTCATGTTTACGTCTGCTGTCTACTGAAAGGTCCATTGTCTAATGAAAGGACCATTATACGTGTTGTTACATTATTTCAAGCTCACTGGTGTACTGTCTAATGAAAGATTCACTGTCTAATGAAAAGACTATTATTCGTTCTATGACATCCAGAGTTAACATAATTCAGCATATTAATATATATATTGATTACTTTCATTTTCACATAATACTTCAATAAAATTACACAACAATAGTTATCTGGATGGGTTCTGTAAGAGCAAGTCTTCCAAAAGATCTGGCAGTGTTCCCAGAATTCCCTACACTAAGGTGACATACAGGTACTGGGCACTATCTGTGCACTGCACCTGCTAAAGGTTGACAGACTTCTCCAAAGAGATAAGAGAGAAGGCCTCGCACAAACACAATCAAAACTATCAACAAAAAAAAAAGGCAGCACACCATCTACTCTTTACTACTGCATCTTTACTATGACACGATAATAGAGGAAGAGATCTGTTAGAGATGCATTACACAGGCCAGAAGCAAACTCCACTGCATTTACTCCTTTAGCCATCTCGGCCAACCTAAATAAAGCATTCAGAAATAGAACACGCAGTCTAAAAATTTCAAGAGCATTAATAGAAGTGGAATGTAGAAACACCCGAAGGACTTTGAGGGTGAGATGCCTTCCATCATGCTGATATCACTCAAAACACTGCAGTGAGCCGAGTTTCAGACATCTTCTGAACGTACGGTTTAATTGCGATTAGAATACCAATGAGCCACAGTGTGGACTAATGACCACAGGAAAACAAAACAGAGCTTCTCTTCAAACATCTACAATCTGTTCTTTTTCATTTCAGGTCCATGCTTCAGTGGCCCATCGCATGCAGTGAACAACTGGCAAACAAAGCAAAACGCTCACTTCTGTATTTGAATACAGAAAGACCAAAATAAAACCCACAATTGTAGCTATTTCTCAAATTTGTGACTACTACTGCGACTTTATATCTCACATTTGCAAATATTTCTCAAAATCCCAACTTTATGCATAACAGTTGTGACTATTTCGCAGTTGAGACTTTATACCTCACAATAGCGACTATTTCTAAAAATCATGACTTTATACTTAACAGCTGAGACTATTTCTCACAATAAAGAATTTATACCCCACAACCAGCACTGTTTCTCAAAATTGTGACTTTATACGTAACAGTTCAAGAATTCCTCAAATCGTCACAATATACTGTGACGGGGGGTATATAATTTGTGACTGTTCCTTAAAATCATGACTTTATACTTCACAATTGTTACTATTTCTCTCAATTTATACCCAACAACTGCAATTATTTTTCACAACTGCTAAATTATTACTTAAAATTTTTTTATACTTTGTGGTAGGGATGCACCGAAATGAAAATTCTAGGCTGAAGCCGAAGCCGAACAAAATGAAACACTGGGCCGAAGGCCGAATACCGAACACGGTTTTTCACATTTTTCCCCCATGTAGGCCTATTTTGCCATTTTTTTCACAATTGCATTAATTAAATTGCCAAAATGTGCTTTTTACTGTTTTGTCCTGCTTTTCAAATAAAAAAATCAATTACAAAACAACAATTAAAAAATATTTACTTAACACTGAACATTTTTTTTACATTCTAGCAGACATTATACCAACAAAGCACAATTTAGATTAAAATTAATAAGTTAGTAAAATAATATTTTTTGGCCATTTTTGAGACTTGAATCAGGCATGTATTTTTTACTGTACAAATAAAGGCAGCCTTGCTGAGCAGAAAAGACTTCTTTTAAAACATTAGAATATATTACAGATTCCAATTTGAACACTATGTGTGAATGTTATAATAAATGTATTAACTGAGCTGTTGTAGGGTTATTATCACATTAGAACATGCAGAAACTAATGGTCTGGTTTCTACAACTTTCACTTTGGAGCAAAAATCTGATATGAAAAAATTATCGTGATAATTTTTTTGGCCATATCGCCCAGCCCTAATTATTTACTTTGTGGCAAAACTTTCCACATGAAATCAGCAATGAAATCTGACAAAAATGGTATCATAAACAACTCAAATTTAAAAAAAAACAGTTCAGATACTGTATATACACATTCTAGAGTAAATAAACTACCAAAGGCAACTGGCAACGACCCTTCAATTCCAACAGATGCCAAATTGAGCATTAATGATTTCTCTCATTCATTTTTCTGTGAGTGGTTCGTCTCCACCCCCTTATTCAGCCTCTGAAATAAACACTCTACTTTCTGGATTTCCTAAAAACACTTTCTCAGTGTTACACAAACAATTACAGCCACTGATTAAAGGGTAAATGAAACTGAGAATACATAGGAAATGTTTTTTTCATTGAGAGTAATCACTTTATGCATCATCTTGATGAGAATTTAAATAATACACATAACCAAACACAGCCTGTCACATCCATTTCCCCGCTGTCCATCTCTGCAGGAAATTATATTTTGCGAGACAGCGTTAACATTTTGGATGCTTCTTTTGGTCACGCCCATCTGCTCAGAGCTTGGCTCAATGGAGTTTGGCATTTGAACAAACAGAGGGTCCACAGCAGAGCCATTAGCATCTGGGAGTTCAATATCCAATCTGGAAATGGGCTTCAATAAACTAGCTTTAGTGGGGCTTTATGCTGCCCCAGAGGGGCCGGTACCAATATGAAAAACCTGGATTCCATTTTGTAACACCATGCAGACCAGATCCCATCCTGAATACAAATCAACTGTACTGCGACAGCGAGGATGACATATCCGCATCCCCAAAAAAATTACAGCCTGCAGCTGGGTAGAATAGGAGCTAACACAATAGATGGTACCTTTTCATATGAAGAATGAAAGCGAGTCAGTGGCCTACTCTGAACATTCACCTTTATAAATCACTACACTATGTAATCCTCCTCTTCACCGTCCTCTGAGAATATTCACTGCATTTTGAGAGCAAGGGACATACGGTGACCTAAGAGCTTATTGTAGTCGCTCAGAATAACAGTTTCTCACCTGTGAACAGCACACACTGTGTGAACAAAGAAATGGATGCGCAAAAGCAGTTTATGCTGCATTTAACGGTTTTATAGAGAACAAAATTAAACAGTTTTATACAATTTTCTACAGGGCATGTGAGTGAACTTCATGATACTAGGGTGTTTTGGATGGTTGCCAGAGCACATCTAGACATTCGCTAAGGTGTTCTGAATAATATTTAGTGCATTGCTATGAGGTTGCTACAGTGATCTTGGTTTGGTTGGCAGAGCATTGCTAAACAACTGCTAATGTATTCAGAAGCCTCATTCACACAGCCAGCGATGCGCAGCAACAAAGCGACATGATCCCATTCATTTTCAATGGAGAGCTGGCGACTTCCGGCAACACAAGCGACAATGACTGCTGACGACAGAATGTAGGAGTGCGAAGCGTGTCGCTCGACGAAGTGACGAAATGTTTCATTTTATGCAAATGAGCCACGAATTTCATGAGCGACAACCAATAGGAGTGAAGACTATGTCAGAGGAGCTCACACGTCACGTCACCATCACGAGAGTAGCCAAGACAGGACAGAATTTGATTTCAGTTTTATATGATTTTACTGTAACCACATACATCGATATAAAAAAAATGGCGCGTGGAAAAGAAACTGTCGGCAGTCTTAGTGAGTTTGATTCATACATTGATAGTTCTTGTTGTTAATTATATTATGCAGTGAGCAGTTTTGCACTGCTGCAGTTCATTACAGTTTCCCCTGAATAATGTTGATTATTAGGGGCAAGAAAATTGATTATTTGTCAAATTGGAATGACGTTTCAGAAATTTTTGGTAGTATGAGTGAGTTCAATTTGTTGACTGATCGATCGTTAATCTGATTAATAAGCACTGCTGTATTATAAACAACCCAGCAGAATGCTACTTTTAATTTGGCTTTTGGTTTGAAGGCAGTCTTATAGTTTTGTTAGTTAATTCTATAGAAGCATCAAGTCCTTTCTGCCTAAAGCTCACTGGCAGCCTGCAAACAGATGAATTGGCTTTGACCTTTTATGAGATTCTTACCCAGTCTCCTACTTTTTCCACAGCACAATACATTTCCGGCTGTCTGCCTGATGTCATTGCTTTACAGATGAGGAAATCGAAGCATCCCATGCTGTTTGCTCCTAAAGAAGAAACGCTGAGCTTTGTGACACAAACAATGTGCTGCTGACAGAATGGTAATTGTTATCTTTAATTGAAGGCTGGCATTAAGGAGAATCTCAAGTTAAGAGCCGCATGGAAACAAAATTCAACAGCACACATTGACATAAACCTGCATCTCCATGACTAATCTGTCTTGAATTCTTTCACAATTGTGGATGATTGTGTCCAAGAAAATGCTTTTGTACTTGAGAATGGAAATGTGTAAATTACTGTCATATCATTGTCTACAAATGAGTAGGCAACTTGTTACAATTGTGATACTTTTTTTCGTACTGTTAAAGGACAGTTTAGCGAAACTATGATAAATAATAATTGAAAAGTAGGAAATTATATGAAAATAAAATATTATTATTATTAATAATAATGCAATTTGTATTACTATAAAGAAAAATACTACAACTACTACTAATAATAATAAGAATACTAAGATAGATAGATAGATAGATAGAAAGAAAATCTATTTGCAAAACCATATAATTAGTGCACAAAAACAATAAAAGAAACCCATCTGTTATTGATCCATGGCCTGGAGCTAAACCAAACATGCTGTGCTGCATGACTGCCTCAACCTTGACGGTTTGGAAGGTGATGTGATGTTTGAGGACAACTTTTGTCATTCATCATTAATGTCTCATCCCACTCTCACTGTCCCCCAGACATGTCTGAAACATTCATCAGCCGCGTTCGGCTCGGACACCAGCCCCTGTGATTACCTGTGGCCCTTGTGCCACTTACAAACTATTCGTGTACACACACAGCAGGCATCACAACCCTGCGCCAGGGCAGACGGCTTCATTCATATGTAGTCCTGGCGTGTCACTCTTCACAGGCCCCTGGCACCGAGTATAAATCACACACGCAGAGATGACAGGCCTCCACAAGACACCTTTACAACCAGATCCTGAATTAATGCCCTTCTTCATTTTAACACCAGGGTCTTCGGAAACACTATTAGGCTACACAGATAATATGGCAGGTAACAGGTCAATAGCACATTTACACTTTCTCTTCTTCCGTCGACCTCTTCAGATTTATCCTCATCACCCTAGAGGTGTTTTTATGCTACTTTTACACATGAGATTCAATAAACTTTCTTCCGCTTTTAAAACCTGTTTTTTTTTTGAAGATGCATCATAAAAGGCCGTTCAGACTCACTGCTCTATGAAGTTTGGAGTCGTTCTGCAAATAATAACTATGATTTTTTTACTGACAGCCGTGTTTGTGACAAATTGTGCAAAAATACTGATAAAAAAAAGAAATATTACAATATGAATAACTGTTTTCTATTTTAATATCTTAAAATGTAATTTGACTTTTCAGCATCATTACTCCAGTCTTCAGTGTCACATGATTCTTCAGAAATCATTCTAATATGATGACTTGCTGCTCAAGAATAATTTCTTATTATTATCAATGTTGAAAACAGTTGTGCTGCTTAATAATTTTGTGGAAACCATGGTATTTTTACAGGATTCTTTGAAGAATAGAAAGTTCAAATGAACAGAATTTATTCGATGTTTTTGTAATAATGTAAATCTTAAATGCCACTTTTTTTTAATTTCATGCATCATTAAATAAAATTATGAATATATATAGGTCTATAATATTGAAAACTTAACCATTACAACTTATTTTTATCAGCCAGAATTTTGATATCTGCACAAAAATATTGCATATCATATCACACTGCATGATACTGCCTGAACTTTCGTGAAAGCTAAAATAAAATAATATAATAAAATAAAATATTATACAGTATCAACATCATCAGAAAAGAAAGGGTGAAATATCCCTACTCAATGTACCTTTGTTCAAGAAATCCAATGAAGGAGGCCACACCTGTCCCAGGACCCACCATCACTACAGGAATAGACGGGTCGGCTGGTAAGTGGAAGGTACTGCTGGGACGAGGCCTGACATGTACCTGGAGGTGACATTTAGATCCAATCAGTTCTAAGCAGTGATGGGATTCGTAAATTGTGTAATCCCACACACAACATCTATTTAACTATAACAAACCCAGTTCCATACATTTTGTAGATACCATCTAAACCAAAAGGTTTTAAGTTGTTGTTGTTCTATTCTGCTGCAATGATTAGTCCACTTTCTACATAGCTCATTTCTGTCCAGCTTTTACCTCAATCAAACAACCCAATTCAGTCCAAATCCTCCCAGCAACTGTGTGCTAATATGTAATGGCTATAGTGCTAACCTTCGGCAGGGCTGATGTGCCTAGATGCTCTGAAGCCGGTACCGTCCCAAGGGGACGCAAGATTGAGGAGACGTGATCAGCCAGCCAGCCCGTGCACAACCCCGTCCTCGCCGGATGCTCGGGACGTGCAGGGAACTCCACAACATTGAACACGAAATGAACTTTCCCAGGGTGCTGAAGGCTGGAGCTGAGGAACGAGATAAAAATAAGAGACTAAGTGCTAACAATCCAGAACCAACCCTGAACATGAGCAAGCCGGTAGACCTCATTATCCCTCTCTTAATGGCCTGCCTCTATTGGGCCTTGGGGACCCCTGCTGACCAGACTTTAATATTTCAGAGCCCTAATGTTTCTGTGTATTCTACCAGCATCAGCGTACTAAACATAAGACATTAGGAGAGGGAGACAGGCAGAAAAAAAAATGAAAGTGGCAGGCGGTTCTGAAAGGACATTCTTTGCATCCAGTGTTTGACTTTGATCACAACAAATGGACTATCATAAACCAAGAGTAAATGACACACCCAATTCATGTCTGTCTATAATAAACCTCACAACATCAAAGGAGGATAGAGACAGAAATAACAACCTAAATCTGGATATGTCTCTGCTTTAATTTGTGAGGCCAAATATAAAGTGCAGGTGTTTCAAACAAGGTCTCTTACCTGGCAGCAGAATAGGCTCTGGGCTGAAGCTTTGTCAAATGTTCTGTAATGAAGCAGAGGAGAGATCAGAGATGAAGATGGCATTGTGACCTTGAGGCTATTCGACCATGTCTTGAGTTACTCTTTCAGGACATCCGCCCTCTGGATGTTACCCAAGCCTCTTGAGTTGATGAGGGCCAATTTCTCAGAATAGCTCAATTCACAACAAAATGTCCATTGCCTTTTTAGGACAGCCTTAATGTTAAGCAAGTACAGTATATATAATCATGAAAAGTTTAGTAGATTTTCCAAAGGAGTATGTTTTAAGAATGTTAGGAGCCAGACCGAAATATTGGCTAGGCCAATATCAATATATTGAATATTATAATATATCAATATATATACAGTGGGGCAAAAAAGTATTTAGTCAGCCACCAATTGTGCAAGTTCTCCCACTTTATTGAGATGAAATTTTGTTATTTGCAAATAAATTCTTTAAAAATCCTACAATGTGATTTTCTGGATTTTTTTTTTCTCATTTTGTCTCTCATAGTTGAGGTATACCTATGATGAAAATTACAGGCCTCTCTCATCTTTTTAAGTGGGAGAACTTGCACAATTGGTGGCTGACTAAATACTTTTTTTCCCCACTGTATATCAATATATGAATATCAATATAAAATTTTTTACAAATACACATCATCATACAAAGTTTGGGATTAAACTTATAGAATAAATAATTCTTATCTATTCTTAGAAAGAATAAATACTTTTATTCAGCAAGCAAGAATAAAATTGATCAAAAATTAAAGTAAATATATTTATTTTACAAAAAATTGTATTTCAATTAAATTAGAATGATTTCTGAAAGATCATGTTACACTGAAGAATGGAGTAATGGCTTTGTCACCACAGAAATACATTACACATAAAAATATATTAAAATAGAAAACAATTATATATACACACACACACACACACAAAACTTATAGCTCACTATAACAGATAAGGATTGACTGAAATTTCGCCAACTTAAAATATTTGGCTGAAAGTGTCAAAAAGAGAAAAATGTGAACAGAAACAATTTACCATCCAACAACATAATCTTCAACATGCAGAAAAGAGGCATGCATGTGAAATGATACAGGTTTAATTAATTTTGATGTAAATGCAAATGATGATGGATAATATAGACAGAAAAGACTCAATTTGACAAGTTTCCTAGTTGTGCCTTAAATTCCTTAACCACAGAAGAAATCATGCTCTTGGTTATTGACACATTAATAAAGAGGGTTTTCCTGTGCTTACATAGAGGCCCGGAGGGTATTTAATGCAAAAAAATCAGAAGACAGAGAAGCTTCTGCCAACTTTTGAATCCGTTTTCTACTTTTGTAGTGATACTAGTTGTGAAGGAAGAACACATACTGTAATCACAAAAATATTATAATTTATCAAATGTATTTTATTCAAATTTGATTATTAATTTTCAACAAAGGCTTTTTGATTTTGCTTTCATCCAATAATATTTATTTCAGTGCATCACTATCTAAGGACCTTATACCATTGTATGGCTTCCAATGAAATTCAAGATGTTTTTTCACTTAATATAATGCTCCTTGTTAAAAACACAGATGTAGTTGTTTCTTAGCTCAAACAAAATGTTCAAAACTCTCCTTCATCTGTCAGCAAATGGCATATCATTTTCTCCAATTCGCTGAAATGATGAATCAATTTGAAATGTGCATTTCAAGCTCACCATATGCGGATGCTGAAGGTCCTCGATATTATCAATTCATTACAATAAAACATTCAATATAGTTCAGTAATATAATTGGTAAAGTACACTATTGAAGTACAGTTCAATATATAATTACAGCCCCTGGTGAGTGCAAACAAATGCATCATGGTGTTTTGGTGGGAAAACACTGCTCTTTAATGTTGGGAAAGCCTAAAAAAATCAGAAGAGAAACTGTTTAACTGATGACAGTGATGTTCTGCCACAACACACCAGTACAGAGTGATTTTAGGAATAAAATGAATGTGCTGTCAAATGCTGCTGAACCAGCATCTCTGTCGACTTGTGCCATGCATGGAGAATCATGTGTTAATCCTTAATTTGCCAAAATCGCAGTAATATTCACACAGATTAAAACTTTACATGTACACTCATCCAATGCAACAATCCACCGGCCACATTCGCATAAATCAACGAGGGTCACTGCATTATGACTACCTTGCAGTTCTCAATATCTAAAGCATGGTATGCATTAATAATTTTAGCTATACCAGCTGTTCCCCAAAATCAAGGTGATGCATATTTCTCACCTTGATGGAGAATTTATTGCATTTCACAGCAGAGGCTTACTGTACAACATATCCACCAAATATCGCGTGAAGGAATAAATAAGGTTTATTATAACAAAATATCAACTTTATGTTCTCAAGGCTAATTACATTGTACAATGATTTCTTATTTAGTGTGCAAAACTTATACTACCATTGAAAAGTTTGGGTTGAAGTTTTTTACTTCAGAAAGAATGCACTAAACTGATCACTTATATTGCACCCCGTTTCCGCCACTAAATAAAAATAAAAAAAGGTAATTGCGACTTCTCACAATTCTTTTTTTCTTGCAATTGCTAGTTTACATCTCAGAATTCAGACTTTTTTCTCAGAATTGCGTGATATAACCTCGCAATTGTGATTTTTTTTCTCAGAATTGTGCGTTTATATTTCGCAATTCTGACTTTATAATACAGAATTGTGAGTTATAAACTCGCAGTTGTAAGAAAATTGCCAGTCTTTTTTCCATCAAAACTGGACTGTATAACTGTGGGACATAAACTCATAATGTCAGAATCTAGTTTATATCTCGCAATTCTGACTTTATAGGCTAACTATAAAATAAATAATAGAATAAAGTCGTAATATTTTGAGAATAAAGTCAATTACGAGAATAAAGTCGCAGCAATTTGAGAATAAAGTCAATTACGAGAATAAAGTCGCAGCAATTTGAGAATAGAGTCAAATATTTAAGAGAATAAAGTCGTAGCAATTACGAGATTAAGTTATAGCCTATAGTCTACATTGTGCATGCAAATAGGCCGGATTGGGAGCATCAGGAGAAATTCCAGTGGCCTGAAAACTGATATGAATATATGTGGGATTATTAGCAGAAATCATACCATGTGCCATATACTCGCAGGGACAGTATGCTTGGAAATAATATTTTTACGTCTTTGAATGCATTCATTATTTGTAGTGTGTCAGCCACCCAATAATAGCAATACATTTGTGCTTTTGGTACTTTTAATATAAAACAAGCTTTCAAATTCTGTCAGTTTTAGTGAAATACAAACAATATGTCTAACAATCATGTGTTTTTCGCCCTCTTTAATGTGGCGTGACAGACCGCTGTTTTCGCCTCAGTTTAAGCTCCATGTGATCAATCTGTTTTTTCATGCCTTCTGATGTTCCTTCGTGTTTATATCGTGCTATAACTTGCAATAAAGAGGAAAAACACATTTATCATTTGTATTTCGTGATAAAACTGACACAATTTGAAAGCTGAGCTGTGTTATATTAAAAGCAACAAAGCTTATTTGCGATTACTGGGTGGCTGCGCGCTACAAATAATGAATGGATTTGAAGATGTGAAATATTATTTCCAATCATTTATTATACCATGCATAAAACAGCTTGCGAATCACTTATCGTTATTTACCTCAGAAAAGACAACAATAAAACGTACTTACACTTCAACATTTACAATGTTGTATTGCTGTTTTTAATTAAATACATGTGAAGATGTTTTTTGCAGAGTAGGTTAATTAATTTTCACATTAATTAATGTTATTCACACCATATACTTGCCTTGCTATTATTTTATATATATATATTCATATACATATATTCAAATCAGTTGCCTGGCCAAAATATTATAATTTTTATCTCGTATTGCTACGACTTCATTCTCGTAATTTTGACTTCATTCTCAAAATATTATGACTTTATTCTCACAATCTTGTTATTATTTTTTTATTTACATGGCACTAAAACGCTATCGTAGAAAATAGAATCTAAAAAAAAATGCATCACAGTTTAGACAAAAGCCCTGTTGAGTATAAGAGACTTCTTTCAAAACATTTTAAAATGTTACAGACCTCAAACTTTTAGAGAGTACACATTTTGTGTAGATTTTTTATATGGTTTGAAAAAGAATATGTGGTTTTTGTGCGAGCAAGATGAGTAAAGAACACTGCTGCAGAAAACGGACTCAATCTTGTGTCTTTACATAGACATGCACATATAGAGTGTCATCCAATCAAATTGCTGAACCCAGTAATTCCATTGTTTTTTCCCTTAAAAGGAGTCTGAAGACATTTAATAAAATAAATTATGAGATATAATCATGATTAATTATCTTAATCAACTGACAACCTTAATTTTTAGTTTATATTTGCTGAATTTATAATCATTCTCCTTGTGTCCACTGATAAAGCATTGGTGAGTTTCTAAGTTTAAAATGTATTTTTTCAGAGGCTATACTTGCAGTTAAAGAACAGTTTGCCTTTAAAAGGAAAAAAAGCAAAGCTGTGCCTCTGATCCGATGTTGTTTTACTGCCATCTGGTGGTACAAGCACTGCAAACGCTTCCAAACATCAGGCACATTTACCATGCAAACTGCATATGCTGATATGAAATGTAGAAAACATCCACATTCCAGTAAATACCAAGCAGATTATGTGTTTACTGACCAAACAGAAGGCTGAGTGGAGGAAGGCAGGATGGGAAGGCCCGAAGCAGATCAAGCAAACATACATTGGCGTCCCTGACAAAGCTGTTGTAGTCTGCTGAGCCTTCTTTGCTACACAACTCCAAAAGCCTTCTTTTTTCTGAACCGTTCTGAGTGAAGTCCGCCAACGCTCGCACAAATGCCTGAAAGCACAAGAGAACAGTGTACAGTGTCTGTCCAGGAACTTCAGACTTCAGCCCTGTGAAAGCTAAATAAATCATCCCCACCCGTACATCAAAAGCACTGTTATAAAGTAAATGTATAAAGTAAGCACTAGTGCTAAATCAAAGGTTCATAACTTCAACAGCACAGCAACTATCACATTAAATAAGGTTAATAACATAAAATTACTTTTTTTGGAGTGCTCCTTATCTCCAAGCACCAGGTGAGAATAAACTGCAAAGAGCCGTTCTGTGGAATGTGAAGTGGAACTTTTGCTGCTGTAAAAGAAAAAAAAAACGGCTATGTATTTATTCAACATTTCTGGTTGTTCAATCTGAATCCAGTTCTCTGACTTGTGAACAGAATACATTATTTTATCTGTTTTCTAGCACAGCTCGAGGAGAATGTTCCTGGTGTCATTGACAATGTTTCCCACAGGATTTTGTGAGACTGTAGTGGGTGGTCCTCGATCCCTCTAGACCCGTAAGAAAATTTTGTAAATTTTAAAAAGTTAAATTCATAAATCTGGTGTACTTTGAGAGTTCAAAATTAAGAGCTCCACCACAGGTTCAGTGTGCAAAGTAAAAGAAAAAAGCTGGTGAATGTACTTGTTCTTGAAATTTAAAGGAGACTCAACCCTCTTTTTAGTTGTGATATAGTGTCTCAGTCTCACTGGTGAATTTGGAAATCAAACAAATTCGAATAAAACAATAATAATAATTTTATATTATTATTCCTATGACAGTTATAGCCATATATTGTAAAACAATTGCACTGTGAAATAAATGAAAAAAAAAATTCAGGTATATTATTTTACCTTACTCTACTGTAAGCAAATTGCAATACTTTTGTCCTCATTTCTACACTTGCAAGCAGGGCCTAAAACTAACTTTCACATCTGCCAGTGGCTAATGACTTGAGAAAATTGACCGGCCATAAATATTTTTCCTTGCCATTAAACTGTTTTTGAACTGTCTTTTACAATTGAAATACTGTAAACATTTGCCCATTAAAATGTTGAAAATGTCACCCGGATCCGGTACGTATTCAGACCAGATGGTGGATCAGCAATGATAAGAGGGGAATAAATGCCATCGAAACGACGACCAAGTCAGTTCCCTTCAGAAATACATTCATATAAACCCCAACCCCCGATATTTATATTTTTCTTCCGAACAGTGAGCTTGCTGTACCTGTACAGTATTTTCTCTATGCGCATCTGTTAATTTTAGGCCATGCTTGCAAGAGATAAACCCTTGAGCTTTTATTTTGGCGGAAACTTCAGTTGAACTTTTATTTTGGTGGAAAACTACAGCTTCTGTGAAAACAGGTTTACAAACATTACTGATTTAATGAAATACTGTAAACATTTGCCCATTACAATGTTGACAATTATGCAAATTATGCATAACTGGTGGCCGTTGCGTTCCCAAACGCGCTAAACTCACAGCACATTCGTTATTCGTTTTTTGATTTAATATTGAAAGTAGAAAAATTAGAAAATGGCTCGTTGTTTTGTTTTTTTTTCCAAAAAACGAAAATTCTGCTTAAATTTTCGTTTTTCGTTCTTTGGTGAAAAATGAATAAACAGCTTGAATATTCAATTTCTACATGTGGGCGGGAATTAAACGCCCCTTTCTGCTGAAAGAACGAAAAATGAAAATTTAAGCTGAATTCTCGTTTTTCATTCATGGGTGGAAAAATGAATAAACAGCTTGAATATTCGATTTCTACATGTGGGCGGGAATTAAACGCCCCTTTCTGCTGATTGGTCAGCCGAAGATCAAACCGTGCCGTCATCAGTTCTTCTGCAGTATCATGCAGCAGAATAATAGTCCTCCACTGCTGCAGTTGACGAGTTGTGTCGAGCTATTCATTTGACTGTTTGATGAAAAAAGGATTAAATGTAGTTGCAATAAATGCGTTAAGAATCCATACAACTGCAGCAGCGGAGGACTATTATTCTGCTGCAGAAGAATTGATGACGGCACGGTTTGATCTTCGGCTGACCAATCAGTAGAAAGGGGCGTTTAATTCTGGCCCACATGTAGAAATCGAATATTCAAGCTGTTTATTCATTTTTTCACCCATGAACGAAAACGAAAATTTAAGCTGAATTCTGAAAAAACAAAAAAGGAGCCGTTTTCTCATTTTTCTACTTTCAATATTAAATCAAAAAACTAATGATCCACGGATTATATTACGCTTTCGGTTTTAATTCATTTGACCGATACTCGCCAAAGCAATGGCGGGTCGCTACAGTCTAGTTAATGAATGGGAAACACTGAACGGCTGCAATACCTTTCTTACTGCTGTTTTTAAGCAAGTTGACCTGAACAGCACAATTATTTTGCGTTTGCAGATCCAGTCTGAGCAGCAACTCCTCAACTTCACTGGCTCTGTTTGGACAGAGAATATCAAAGGCATCTCCAGGCTGGTAAGCAATGTTCTGCTCCTGGAGAGACAGCATTTATTATAACTCCTACACAGAGAACACAACATAGATGTTTTTGGAAGAGTACATAAACATGTCTATTTGACTGAACCCAAACCAAATTCTAAAGTAAACTTCTGGGTATTATATATACAATACAATATATATATATATATATAACGTTTTTTACATTCAAAATATGTTTTATTCTATTTAATATTGCAATGGATTTAGACATTTTTGTTTTTACATGGTCAATATGTGGTTTCCAACACATAATTTATGATCAATTATAACACCCAAAAATTGATTTTCATACACTCTTCCTATTTCCTCATTGTTAATCCTTAATTTAAATTTGTTACTTTGTTGATTACTAAATATTATAAACTTAGTTTTACTTAAGTTCAGTGAAAGTCTATTATCATCAAACCATTTTTGAAAGAGTATGTTAATTAGCAGAATTAAATACATAATAGAAACAATAAAATTATATTTTATCCCACATCATCTATACCAGTGGTTCTCAACCGTTTTGACTCAAATGCCCGCCGTTGTCCAATATAATTATTCAAAGATATTTTTGCTGTGATTAACAGAAACTGAAGTGTTGATAAAATAATTTTAATCAACCATGATAAGTTTTGTGATTCGAGAAAACCCACAATTTAGTATATTCTTCAAAAAAACAAGAACTACTCATATAATAATTGTGTGTGTTTGTGTGTGTAGCATTTTAATTAAATTTTTTAAAAATTAATAATTAAATTGCCACCCTTGAAAGTTTCCTGAGGCCCCCCAGCAGGCATTTATTGAATGAACCTTATTCGTAAAATACATAAATGTTCCTAAATCCATGCTTTTGATTGATCTCTATGTTCTATAAACTTTGATTTTCCAGGAAGTTCATACCCGTTCAGTTGACCCCTGCTCCAAATGGACCTCCAGATATGAAGCGGGAAGTGCAGGAACATTAAGAACAGACTCTGACAATGTTGGTACCGATTGCTTTAGAGATGCAACCAATGCAGTAGAAAGAGTCTCAACATCACTGGTGTCAGATGTAATCGTTTTTCCCTTTTCTGAGTCTACTTCACTCAGCTTTAAAAGATGAAGATCAACTTCTAGATCTGACTTATTTTTTTCCTGGCCAGATGCATTTTTATGATAATTGTCCTGTGTACAGTCTCTAAGGTCAGTGCCCTGTTGATTTGAAGTAGACATGCTAGAGAATAGTTTTTTCAGAGCGTCCCAGAGTCCCTCAATCCAAGGATCAACCACTACTTCAAGTCTGGAAAGAAAAGAGCCCAAGAGTTTGACAAGGCAATATATCAGAGAATGAGCTTTTTTGTTGTTACTTAACATTCATGCTTACCCAGTGCCGTCATCTGCATGCCCAGTGGCATAGAAATGTTTAGCACCAAGTTGCTGCAGACGGCTGTCAATGGTCTTGCCCCCGTTGCAGAAATTTGCATAGTTTGTGTCTCCCAAAGCTGCATATATAACAGCATGAAAAAGTGCTCATGGGTGGAGCTAACACTTACATCACAGAATGATCATCTTACCTAACAGTGCATAACGCAGATGGGAGAAGTGGTCGTGCGCCAGAGATTTGTTCTTGATCTTTCTTACAAACTTCTGAGCTGTGTCCGGAGGGTCAACATCACCGGTCGTGGAAACCACAAACACAACTGGCCGGATTTCATGATCCACGTTGTACTGGGAAAACATGGGAATGCACAAGTTGCATCAGTCAATTCTGATATATGACTGTTGATTTCCATGAAAAGTAATAGACAAGAAACATACCTTGTGCTGGTTGCTCAGACAGCTGATATCGGCTGTAAACCCATGCTCAGCTGCTTGTTGGCCGATCTCTTCGGCTATAGACTGAGCCTGACCACGCTGAGATCCGTACAATATCAAGAAGCGAGCGGCAACTTCACACGGCATATTATGAAAGCTGGATAAAGGGGATTAAAATGTTACAAATCATTTCTGCATGTTTTGAAAAGCAATAAAACATTACATTTTTACATTATAACAAACATGTATTATACATTTTTTAAATACATTTATAAATATTTATTATAAAATATTTATAAATATAATTTAATAAACAATGAATTAAAAATTACATAAAATCATTAATAAATCATAAATTCATCAGTCTAGATGGCTCAAAGCTAGTTTCGAACAAGAGTGATGTAATATTAACTTATACAAGCATTTAAATGTAATTTACATCTCATTCTTTTAATTGTAAGGTTAATTCATGTTATTTACTCAAAAAATGTGATTGTTAACCATTTTCCAAATGTACAAACTTGAATTGAGCAGCTCTGGTCATGTGACTATTTACATCAGATAAATGAAATATCAAAGAAATCAAAACAGTCTGCACTCTCATTTATAGCTGACAGTTTTGTGTTAAATACACCAAGCACTGTTTTAGACCATCCGAAGTTCAAAATACACTTTGGTCACAAATTTTTATTGTGAGCGGTGAGATTAAATTGATTAATGATCAATTTACCTTGTTTTTGTGAACGCCAACTCCGGCCGAGTTACCCACTGAATCCCGACCGGCTAACCTACTCCTCTGGACTCGCATATGGCCTTGCAGAAATAAACAACTTGTAAATTAAAAGATATACTAGTCAAGGACAAATCTTATATGTTTAGTCAATCTGCATGGAATATAGATCTGTGGCTGTACTCGCGTTATGTGTTGGGGTTATCGCGAGAGTGGAATAAACCATTAATATGTTTCAGTTTAAAAGTTTGTTAGAACGAAGTGGTTTTCTTTGTTTTTTATTCCTAAATAATTTTCTGAAGTGTTTTAAATCATTCTTTAATTAATCACTCAACGTTTATCTAATTTACCCGAAAATGCCGTGGGTGTTATAACATTCTCTACTTGGTTTGCTCCGCCCCTCCCCGAGATTCTTCCAGAACTAGCCGGCAGATCCGCGCGGCGAGGTGCACATCTAGAGGATTAAACTCTCTAGTTTAAAATCATTTTACGTAGTTGTGCATTTCGTTGGGGTGGAGTTTAATAATGTCCGCACTCGGGACCCTTGCCTTCGATGAATATGGAAGGCCGTTCATCATCATAAAGGACCAGGACAAGAAATCTCGCTTGACTGGCCTGGAAGCGCTGAAGGTAACTACAAAAGCTAACTGGCTAATGCGCTCTCTGATCTGTAGTCCAGAACGACACAGTCTGTTTCATGTTTTAAATACGTATTTATTACAATATGCTTCAGTAGTCTGACATAGAAAGAATGTCTTTTATTTGTCTAATGAGATTAATAATGCACTTCATGTCAACCAGCGGATGGTCCATGTGCTTCCTCTAGCGGTGTTGAGTCATGATGCGCAGTCAGGGAGACATGAACACATTATTTATTTTTTATTCATAAGACAGTTGTAACTGTACCTTGACTTTATTTTTCTACTAATTAACGCATGATTGTTTGTCAAGAATCCTGTCGAGATGTTTGTTGTTTGTGACACGCATATTAAACCTGCACGTTTCAGTCTCACATCATGGCAGCAAAAGCAGTTGCAAACACCCTGAGAACATCACTTGGGCCAAATGGTAAGTGCTCAATTCTGCACGTAGCCTTGCTAGTCCGTTCCTTGCTGTGTTCTTAATACAAATGATTGTTGTTTACAGGACTTGACAAGATGATGGTGGATAAGGATGGTGAGGTGACTGTAACTAATGATGGTGCAACGATCCTCAGCATGATGGATGTGGACCATCAGATTGCCAGGCTCATGGTAGAACTCTCCAAGTCTCAAGATGATGAAATTGGAGATGGAACTACTGGTGTTGTTGGTGAGTTCTCTCCATGCTTCTTACTAAACATAATAACCAGCTGATTGCACATGGGATGCAGAGTTGCTTTGATAAAAAACTACATATTCCCCCCTGCATGTTTATTTATTAAAGGGTTAGTTCACCCAAAAAGGAAAATTAGCCCATAAATTACTCACCCTGAAGTCATCCTAGGTGTATATGACTTTCTTCTTTCAGACGAATCCAGTCAGAGTTATATTAAAAATTGTCTTTGATCTTTCAAGCTATTTAATGGCACTCAGCGGGTGTTGCAGTGCATCAGTCCAAAATAAGTGAATAAGAAGAGCCCATCCTTAATAAAAAGTGTCTCACGCGGCTGCGGAGGGTGAACAAAGGCCTCCTGTAGTGAATCGATGCGTTTTTGTAAGAAAAAGAACCATATTTAAAACGTAATCAATTTAGTCTAGCTTGCGCTCACTGTTGTACACAAAAGCATCTCAGGGCGGATGACGTAGGAAGTTGGTGTTGCACATGCACCGCTCAGAAGTGATGAACGCGGAAGCGCAGGGGAGAGATCAAAACAAAACAACGGTCACGAATTAGAAGTACAAAACGAGGATTTGTAAAGAAGAATGTCGGAGGATTTCGATATAAGCCAAGAGGAGACTGGTTTTCCTTTGCTAAAGTAAGGAAACTTTGCTTCCTTTGATCCTGTTAATAAATGTTGGTTTTCACGAGACTCACCAACGCATGCGCAACGCTGAACTCGTATGTCATCATCCCGGAACTGCTTCCATGTACAACTGTTGGCACAAGCTACATTAAAGTGCTTATTACATTTTGAATATGGATATTTTTCTTACAAAAACGCATTGATTTGCTACAGGAGGCCTTTGTTCACCCCATAGACTGTAAAAAAAACATGGACGTAGTGTCCATGACGTCACCCGTTGAATTCTGAAGAGCTTTTTTGAAGCCCAAAGTGGGAGGAGCCGGTCATCGCCATCTTGGCAGCGCGTCACTCCCGGATAATCGAAACTGGGCAAAGAGGCGGGGCGTGGGTGGCGCTGAGGTGCTCAAAGTGTTCACTGCACAGACTAGAAGCCTTTTTAGGAATCCAATTCTGTCGTTTCACTGGTCTAGTCTGAGAGGGTCTGGATCACCTAGAGGAAAACTTTACACAGACAAATAGATAGTTACCTTTTTCACAGACTACTTTGCACTATCCTCATTCTGTTCTGGACATTTTAAAACACTTAATTTGGCTTAATGCATTAAGACAGTGTTTTTCAAAGACCAAACGCCGAAAACACATTATTAACAAATCATACTTATGTGCAGATGAGTCCAGGATAAGAACGCAACGCACGTTTAGCTTTTTCCTCCCATAGAAAACTGTTATAAGGAAACGGCGCCTCCATATCCTGCAAAGCGCGCTTTAGCTTCCACTCTCCGCACAAACTATTGGATATAGTGCACATTTATCTAGGTTTAACGTTTAAACATTGTTATATGCTTGAACTATTTTATATCTATAGATTTCATTTTAAGTCGTGATGATTTGAGAAGGCTAAATTGATCAAACATAGGCTCACTGTCTGCCGCTTGGTCGTTACTTTAAAAAAACTAACTATTTAACAAACAAAAAATGCTCCAAACGGTTTTTTAAATTAACGAAAAAGAAACGAAATATAATCACTTTGCTATTACATACAAAACTGAACTATTTTAATAGCTGAAACGGTTATATAAGCTGTTTTGGGAGAAGGGGAAAAAAGACGCGGTCGGGTCGGGTTCGGGCCGGTAATTCTGATAAGCTTGTTGGACACAGGCCGGGCTAGGGCCTAAATTTGAGGTTCTACACCCCTGCATTTAAATTGATCAAAGGTAACGTTAGAGATTTCTAATAAAGGCTGATATTTAAAGTTTTCTTTTCATCAAAGAAATCATTTTAAAAATCCACAAAAATAAGCAGCATCACTATTTTTTTAATAACTATTGAAAAATATTTTTGAGCACCAGATCAGCATATTACAATGATTTCTGAAGGAGTATATATATATATATATATATATATGAATGACAAATTAAGAGCTGAATTAACATTTGCGTGAGCACGATCTCGCTTCTGTATTGCTGTTACGACCCTCCTTTGGTTGTTAGGCGTCTAGGGACTAAGAAGGGGAACATTGGACCAGTTTTTACCAGTACCAGTTTAACACTCGGTGTAATAATTTAATTTTTAATAGCTTTACCTCATGTCTTCTTTTGTATAATCCTTAGAAGCCAAAATCGAAATTAAAAAAAATAAAATTAGCTTAATAAAACAGCCACAGGCCTAAAGTGTAACCAGATGATTGAATGTTTAGTTCTCTCTTCTATCATAATTAAACAGGGCTTTCATGTTGCGCGTGCTGAAGCTCCTCTGCGTGAGCGCGATCTCGCTTCTGTATTGCGAATAGCAAAAATGCATCATAGACAAATGTTTGAAAAACAGCTGGCGACTCTGGTGAGATAGAATTTGCAAGATAATGTGTGTATATATAGCAATAATAAATGTATGTTTGTTTTATTAATTTCTCCAGTACCAATAGCAGAACCGTTAATGTCAGAGCTTATCGATACTCCGGTCTTTCATAATTTAGCCCGGGGACCGATTAAATACCGAGTTCCGAGTACCGATTAAATATCGGTACTCATCCCTAGTCAGAGGTGACACTGAAGACTACAGTAATGACTGCTGAAAATACAGCTTTGACATTTATCACATTTTAAAATATATTAAAATTGAAAACAGTTCTTTTAAATCTTAATGATATTTCTCAATGTTACTGTTTTTACTGTATTTTGCATTAAATAAATTCAGCCTTTGTCAGAATGAGACTTAAAAAAACATTGGGGGGAAAAAACTAAACTTTTTAAATGTAGTGTTTGTTTTATAGATTAAGTTTGATGTCTTGTAGACAGTATATAACATCTTTTAATTGTAATATGTGCCTCATAAATATGTTTAAAAATATTTTTTTTGCTTACTCTGTGCAGCGTTGTGGTCTAATGTGTCTGTTTGGCCCTGTAGTTTTGGCTGGAGCTCTTCTAGAGCAGGCCGAGCAGCTGTTAGACCGAGGCATTCACCCCATCAGGATCACCGATGGTTATGACCAGGCCGCAAAGATCGCCATTGAGCAGCTTGACAAAATTAGTGATAGTTTCCCAGTGGATCCCATCAACACAGAGCCTCTTATTCAAACAGCCATGACCACGCTAGGATCCAAAGTGTGAGTGTCTGTCTTGCCAGTCTTTTTAAATTAACAGTTCATGAGAATATTATAAGGAAAATCACTTGTTTTGTTTGTAGAATCAACCGATGCCACAGACAGATGGCAGAGATCGCCGTCAATGCCATCCTGACAGTGGCCGACATGGAGAGGAAGGATGTCGACTTTGAGCTTATCAAAGTTGAAGGAAAAGTCGGTGGTAAACTAGAGGACACTCAGCTCATCAAAGGTGTCATTGTGGACAAAGAGTTCAGCCACCCTCAGATGCCCAAGGTACTATTAATATTCATTCCTGGTTGCACATGCATGGCATGATTATCATATGTAAGGTCTTTGTCAATAAGCATGTTGTACATGCAGGTACTGAAAGACACAAAAATCGCCATCCTCACCTGCCCATTTGAGCCCCCCAAGCCCAAAACCAAGCATAAGCTTGACGTGACCTCAGTTGAGGACTACAAAGCTCTGCAGAAGTACGAGAAGGACAAGTTTGAGGAAATGATTCGTCAGGTTTGTATATTCTATGCTTC